AAGCAAGTGGATTGATGCACTCCTTAATTCTTTCATAAATTAAAACACGTCCGCATACGAATTCGGCTCGGTAATTGCCCAGGCACGCTTATATACGCACCTCGGCCCTAGCAGACTGTTTAGTAATTGAAAATCCCTCAGTCTCAAAACTGGTCATTTCCCTTGTCTGACATCCTCTGTCTTCCGTCGTCTGAGAGTGTGGTCAGTTTTGCAACAACGACGACCACAATCTAACAGTTACTTATAGGCTTTGAACATAGTTGAATAATTAAGGTCATGTTTTGCGGGGAATTACAGCGGTGCACGATGGGTCCACAGCCCATGTACACATGCACGTCGTTGTATCAGATCTCTTTCCTGTACAAGTGGGCGGCTGCACACGTCGACCGCCTTTCCGCCGGCTCTCCGGATGACTCTATCCGTGGGTGCCTGGACTGTTTGCCCACTGGCAGATCCTAAGCGGGCCTGTGCGGAGTGTTTGCGACCCCAACCACATTAGGCTCGTTCTCACACTCTTGTTCCCAAGACTTCTGACGGAGGGATGTCTTACTTTGGTATATCGTAACGGCAACTTAGTTAACTGATGAGCCACCGATCATTTTAACTCCTAAAATGCATATTATCAAGCAGACAATAGCAGCTGGCTCTTGTCTAATTTACAGAAAACTACAGAACCCATGTCACACACCTTCTCAGCCTCTACACTCGCTTACTCGGAGGACTGGTCGATGGGGATGTAGGGTTTCACCAAACATGTCTCATTCAATTTTTCTACTAAACTCGTTTAGCGCGGCCAATGTTACAGCCTGATCAAACAGGTCTACACCTTGTCTCTCTGCCTGATCCATCTGTTCATCTTCAAAGGCTGAAGTGCCCCGAAAGTTGGTTTATTTATTTCAGATACGTAAAAGTTGCAGATATGCTGGTTATACTGCCGACACGCAAGAGATTTTCATAAAAGTACAAACTTGGGGAAAATCTTCCACCTAGCTTTCACCGACTCCTGGCTTGGCAGTCTCCATTAGTGACCTCTGACACAGTTAATATTCCCGATCACAACCAACAGGACGACGAACCCGTGGTTCATGTCGTAGGGCACTGGACTTAATAACGCTCGACAGCCAAAGAACGTGAGATCGAGACCCAAGTGCCGCAAAAACTGGGTTTTGGCAGAGCTGGTCGACGACGGCTAATAAAGCAGAAATGCTCGTCCCAGTCTCCACTAGCTTTGTCAACAGACTCTTTCAGCTTATATTGCTATGCGCTGTGCGACTCCCTACAAGACTCTAGATCGGGCCCTAAAACACAACAAGACGAGTGTGTCCCGTAACACGGTCGGCAAACGCACTTTTGACATACATTAATATATGCCCTCCCTAGTTTTGTTCCCCATCAGTAGTTATGTTGTTTCTTAGGCGGCCGTGTTCAAGGCATGAACATCTAGAATTTTTACTTTCTGCAAAGCATGCTATTTGCTGGTTGGACGATTACAGAGCCCACTGCCCAGAGGCTATCAAGAAAATAGAATTCGTGCACATGCTAGTTTTCTCTCAGTCCTCTCGTCACCTTCCTGCCCAACTAGCAGAATCATCTTAACCCTCCTGCTGACTGGGAAAAATCTACCACTCTGAACTTGAATAAAATAATAAATTATTTTCAGCAATATTCCACAATTTCTTAAATTCTGGACTGTGACTATCGTGTGTGCTTACTGAAACCAGTATGCGTTCAGCCTTAATTTCGTTCGGTCGTGATCAGTGCTTGTGACGTCAGAATTTCCAACCAAAAAGAGGTCAGGACAGGAATAGTTCATTTAACCATACAGCGAAACCCCCCAGTTGTCTAAAATTGCTTTATATTTCTATACATAGTAAGTGGTTTGGAACAGCTGTTCTGCAAAAATCCCTTCTTTGTTTGATAGCTGTCGTGTATGTAGTTAATTAGTATGTAACCCAGTAAGCTGCACACCGCTTCGAGATTTTACTTCAGATGACAAAGTGAAGCTTATAATGCCATCGAATGTCAATGCAGAATTTTCCAGTAAAGACCTCGAAACACGATTTTTGGCCTAGACCCTGAAATTTATATGAACGCTTTTGTCAAGTGTTATGACCTTTAATGGGTTGTACGCGGAATGCTGACATTCGCGGATCACGCAGCAATATTTTTGCACATATACCCGTTCAATCTGGCCGTCAAGAATGCCGGTTCACTTTCAGACCATCCGAGGAGCAACCAACCGGAACGGAGAAAGACGTTGGTCGCTTGAGAACTGGCGCGCAACAAGACGGACATTGCTGCTTTCTGCAAGACCCGCCTCTTCAGACAAGACCAAGTGTCGGCTACATCTTCTACGGGATCGGTCGCCCAGAGGCAGAAGTATGTGACGCTGGTGTCGTCCTTGTCATGCGGAACGACATTGTGGGGCGACTGTCCCGTCTGCCACAGGGTATCAATGACACCCATTGAGCCTGGACCTGTCGCTTCGGGGAGCTAAATTCACCATCGTCGTGAGCGCTTGATGATCAGCTCCGACACGGCGAAGACTAAGTTCTGCGAAGACCAACACGCACTTGCGGCGAATGTACCGAGGGTAGACAAGTTGATTATCTTTGGTGATTATAACGTCCCCGTCGGGACAGACTATGCTGCCTGGGGAGGAGTTCTGGATCTTCATGGAATCAGTGTCTGCAACGACAACGGTCTTTTCTGTCTGCAAGCCTACGCAGAACAACGACTCCTCCTGAACAGTACCTTTTTCCACGTACAGACGCGAAGGAAGGAGACCTGAGTGCCAACCTGACCGCGGCGCTGGCAGCTGCCGAGCTAGGTTCTCGTCTGAAGGTGTGATCATAAGGACGTGCTGGTGACCAAGGCCATCTGCGACGACGATGGCTGAACCTGCAACCCTCTCACCCTCTTCAAGATGAGGTTCCGCGGGAGACCACAAGACAAGCGATTACCAGGCAAACTAAATAATGTTCTGTTGAATTTGCCTGTTTATCACTTTAACTGACACTACGACTGGAAGATCTGCAAGCCTCCGATGAAAACAACCGTGGAGACTCGGTGGTGTCAACTTTGGAATACCATCCACTCCTCTGCCTTGAACCTCCTCGGACGCGCACTTCCTCAACATTAGAATTGATTCGACGACGACGACGACGACGAAAACGCGGATATCAGCAAACTACTCGCCAAAGAGAAAGGGCTACACAAATTCTACATCGGCTGCCAGACCGACATAACCAAAACAACATTATATCGATGCACGGGGATGTGGCACCAAGAACAGGCTTCTCAAGATTTGAGAGCGTGATATTCGTCTATCTCTACAAACTGAATGAGGACCGACAACCCCATAACGACCACAGAGGCATCTCGCTGCTCGACGTTGCCGGAAATATCTTCGTTTGCATCCTCCTCAACCGCCTCAGCGACCATCTAGAGCAGGAACTTCTTTCGGAAGACTGCTTTGGCTTCTGATGACGCTGGGGAACATATAGCATGAACTTCGCCAGACGTCAGTTGCAAAAGAAATGTCAGTAACGGCGTATCCATCTCTCCAATGCCTTTGTGAGCCTAATGAAAGCCTTTGACACGCGAATCGCTATGGGCTCTGTAAGTCACGCAAGAAATTCGGCTGTCCTGACCGATTCATGCACATGGTGCGTCGACTGCACGAAGGTATGAGACTCAGAAGCATTCGTAGTGATCACCTGAGTAAAGGAAGGTTGCATAATCTCTCTTAACCTCTTCAGACTCATGCTCTCCGCCATGTTGAAGGACAACTCCCGAGGTGAGCTCCTCAGGATATGCATCGCCTACAGAACCGACGGCGCATGTAGACCTCGAGGCCTTTACCCACGACCACAGCCCACGCTTTTCTGTCTGCGAATGATTGCCGGCGCGACACCGCAACATCAATGGACATGCAACAAAGCATAAATCTCTTCGTCTCCGGCGGTTCCAACCTCGAACTGACCATTAACACGGACGAAACTTCTGCTATGCATCAGCCGCCTCTCAACGCTGCGTACAAGATTCCTTGCATCAACGACACCCAACTGAAAATTGTAGACAGTTTCGCCTCCTTAGGCAGTACACTCTCACACTGCATCAAAATGGCGTCGAGGTGCTTCGCATCTCTCAAGTCCGCCAAGCCTTCGGCCGGCTGTAGAACGCAGTATGACTTTGCCACCTCAACATCAAACTCAAGATGTACAACTCCGTCATCAGGAGGGCACTGCTGTGTAGACCAGTGGCCTGGACATTCTACGTCAATCAAGCCAGGAAACCCAATTATTCCCACCCAAGTTGTCTTCAGAGAATCCTGAAGCTGAGATGGCAGGACAGTATCCCGGCCACAGGAGTTTTGGAAAGGGCTGGAATCCTTAACGTCTGCGCCATGCTGAGACAATACATCTACGATGGGGCGGCCACCTTGTGAGGATGGACGATGACTGACTGTCCAAACGACTCTTCTACGGAGATGTCGCTATGGACTCTCGCCAACGAGAAAATCAGACACCCCGCAAAAGGATCACCCTATATAACTATGCGAAGCGTTTGCAAATCAACTTGAAAACCTGGGAAGACCTCGCACAGAACCGATCGGCCTAAAAAAGAGCAGTGAAGACTGGAGCAGCAATTTACGAAGACAACCGGATAGTCGATGACAAAGCCAAAAGAACGGCTTTCAAGGTTCACGCATCTAAGATCAACAAGTCCAAAATCCAAACCCCACCAACATGCCCACGCTGCCAACGAAATTTCCACGCACGTACTAGTCTCGTCGGATATCTCAAGAACCAGTGCAACAATAATCCAACAACCCCAACATCTGCCTCCAAAATCTCCGCTATCGTAACCTCTGCACCAACTCCACGGTGCATGCAACAACTACCTGCACCGTCGATGGTCATAATCCCCGTGCCCCACCGCCATCGATTACCGCCATCATCATCATACCCGCCAAAATCTCCGCGACAACGACGACGATGACTACTAGCTCACCCAGTCGCACCGCCGATGAGAGCACTCCCGATGCCGAGTCAACCACTACCCTCACTACCGCCGCCCCTGCAGACGGCGATGTGAACTCGGTCCTAACCTACCCTCATTGCGATCGCATATCCACCACACGCATCGGTTTGATCGGTCGCTTGCGAATCCATCTCACTGCGGTCGGCGCACCAGCGCCAGTTGTTCTCTCCACCTCCGCTGTTCACACTGCCCACGTAAATCCACTCATCGCAGAGGCCAATTCGGTCACATGCTTATCCATGGCAGGTTAATTCTCCCAAAATATTGACACATCAAGCGCAAACTGCACACCAAACAACCTTCCCACCCCCCAGCTTAATCAACTCCTCATCCACCAACACGGCTGCCATTAGTAGCGCAACAACTCCAACGTGCTTAGTATTTGTCAGTCCATTTTGTCCCCATTGCCACCGCAAATACACGTCACGTAGTGGCCTGATGGTTCACTTGCGAATCCGCCTCAAAGAGGCTGGCAAACCTGTGCCTGGAGCACCAACATACATCCGCCGCACACGCCTCACCTGCCGACACTTTCCACACACATTGAATTACCGCATGAGCCTCCGCGAAAATCTGTGGTTAATCACTGCATCACCACACATTTCCCCTTTCACTTATTACCACTTCTACAACGCGGATATCTCCCACGTGGTTGCGAAGTGCGTTCTTCGGCTCCTTCTTCATGTGGCTCCTCTGTTTCATGTGAGATCGACGCAGTCTGCCCTCCGTGTGAAATCCTGATGTGTGCGTAATGGGAGCCAGGTCGCTTTTATCAGGGGCAGGTGGGTTCTTCTTAAGTCTGTCAGCTTCTTCTCCCCATCTCAGCCCCAGTTGATTGACGGGCTTGGACGCTCGACTGGTGCACGGGAGAGATTGGCGCGAGTGAGGACGAATCTCAGCGCATTTTACTTCCCACAAACTGCATGAAACGTCTGGAATATTCACGGTACACAAAAAGCCGTGACTTGGAATGTTGCTAACTGGAGATTCCACTCAGAACACGCAGTCAGCCCACTGTGTGTTTGTGCGTTGAGTGGCCGACCGGTGGACCGAGTGTAAGACTGCAATGGCTCCCTCTTAGTATAACTGCTATGGCACTCCCACTCAGTGGGATCCGATCCGATGTGGTGGCACGCGCTTGAGTACGAATTTTCGCTGCCTGCGTTCTCTCTCCCCTCCGGTCTTCTTGACTCTGTCATGACAATGAGCCCAGGTGAGGTAGGTGAGAGCGCGGCAGATGTCGCGCAAGTCTACTGTAGGCATTAAATAATTCACCGTCCCTGCCTTCATTTTGCTTTGGAGCACACGGTTGATATCTTGGGAAATAAAGGTCGAAATTTCGTCGTATTTTTCTTCTTCATCAGTAGTTTGTTTGCAGGCAGTACCTAATATTCCAGACCATGCATCAGAAACTACATGGAAGTGCACCTTCACCGATCAGTTAAAATACAGACTAGGAACGAAGAGTTGAGCTGCGAATGTAGCGGAAATGGTTCTCTCTGCCTCGGGGCTCTTTACGTTAGTACCTGCTTCTCCACGACCGCTTTCAAGGGTTTCACCTAGAAGCGCATGACAAAAACGGAGCGAACATATTTCTTTTTACAGCCAACTCGTTGAAACCCCATGTTCAGCTGACTCTCGTTACTCTCAATCGTACCCCGTAGGACGTATGCTCCGATTCCAAGAGGTTCAGCGCCGACTCAAATGCTCGATGACCAACTGGTTCAGGTTCAAATCTGAGGTCGTTCCGGCCTGCGGCTGATGTACGACTAATAATAAGTCAGAAATTTCCACATTGCCTTACCCCGTCTTTGTATTTATTTTTTTGCTAATCTCTTAACAGAACCAGGTGAATCAAAGGGGAACCGGATCCCTGATACCCACGTCGCTCAGTAGCAGATACTCGATGATTTACAGTGAGTGAGCGATCTCATTAAATGTCGGCCGAAATTTTGGAATGTGTTTTCGATTAGAAGGATTACTTGGGTGGGGTTGTAATACTGATTATCCCTGCGGCATAATCCTTTAATATTTCGGACTTGGCAGGATGTCGGCTTTTGATTATACTTCTTTTCAATCTCCTGTAGAAACCGTACTTGGTAAAAAATGACTACGTAGGTAGTGTGTATTTTTCATACTGATTTTCGATGGTCTTGCAACCTCAAATATATTTTATGAAAAACATCAACAAAAAATATTCCTTCTTTCACTCGTTTGATAGAGAAACTCGTCATGTTTGTAGTTTTACTCGAAAAGGGAGTATAATTAGGTTTTAAAAAGTTCCTAATTATGAGATCGTTAAGATCGTGCAATGTCCATTCAAACAGCATCGTACATGTCCGTTTACCACTGCCTCTCATGAAATGTACAACACAGTCTGCATCCATTGCAAAATTTTATGGACTCTATATGGTATCTTTTTTAAGGTATAGTATGATAAGTGATCTTCTTTACGCGGAACGCATGCACTTTGTAGACTGAAATCACTGAGCGCTAGTGCAACGACCGATCAATTTCCAAATTATTGGGACTTAGACAACTTTTTAAAACCTGATTATACTCCTTTGTCGGGTAAAATAAAAACATGACGTGATTCTCTATCAAACGAATAAAAGAAAGAGTATTTTTTGTTCATGTTTTTCATAAAATATATTTGAATTTGCAAGACCATCGAAAATCACTGTGAGAAATACACATTACCTACGTAGTCATTTTTTACCAAGTACGGTTTCTACAGGAGATTGAAAAGAAGTGCATTCATAGTCGACGTCCCGCTGAGTCCGAAATACTATAGGATTATGCCGCGGGATAATCAATATTACAACCCCACCCAAGTAATCTTTCTTAATCGAAAACACATTTCAGAATTTCGGCCAACGTTTCATGAGATCTGTCAAGCACTGTACTTGTGCGGGCCCTTAGTCAGTGCCGGTCTTTGACGTATGAGCAAATTGGTCTCTCGGTGCAAAAACTATTGTTGCCAAATCCACGGATCTGGGTTATCCTGCTAAATCTGATACTGTTTGCGGCAAGAACTCATCTGAATCTTAAACCGGACCTAAAGCGGCCCATTCTCAGGACCTTCATTTCGCCTATTTATTTGCGAAGAGGCGTATAAACATCGTTTTCCTTTTTTCAAAGCATGTGGACAAAATCCTTTAAAGTATAAAGAAGTACTTCTTACTTGCTTGTACCAGTGGTGATGTAGTTACAGCTGGGGACACTTAATGTGGGGAAAATAATTTTATGAGTTTACCCGACGAGGTTGGACACAAGAATAAGGATGCCCCTTCTACAGACGGTTTTGCGCTAAATTCCCGGAGGTACCTAATCCCTTATTTCAACTTTAACTCTAACTCTTATACAAGCCCCCCTTCCCCTGAAATTTAGATCAGTGCCACCTCTGTTACCGAGGGTCCATATTTCTGTGGCCTATCGACAGCCATTCGCGGCGCTATTTGTTATATAGAAACAGACGAGAGCAGAACCATTAGCAGATTTCACGTGCCTCTTTTGATTTATTTCAGGCAACAGTGCCGATTTTTGACGAAATATCCCGGAGACGTATTGTTATGATCAAAATGACAACACTCGTATGGGAGAATATTCTCAAACTTTAAATAGAATCGTCACTGAGTGTGGAAAAGAGACCTGCACTGTAAATCCCAAGAAGGGACGAAAGGCATTGCACGCGTGCTTGGAGAACGTCACGAATGGACTGCCTAGTATCTACTTGGAGCTCTGCGCAAGGAAAATCTTCTTCGGCGTGCATTCCCCACTTTATGTAGTCTCTCAGGCGAAATGCTTCATTAGTTATTTTTATTCATTTATATCCACTTCATTCTTCATGTCACCAGATCTCAAAATGCAGACAGACTCTAGGTCCACACTGCCTTACTCAAGATAAGGGCAGTTTGTCAAAAATAAAACTTCGGGCCACCCTTCGGCAAAGAACCTTTGCTATGTAAGATTAATCTTTCTCGGATTCTAACGTGCTGACCAGATATACTTCCCTTCGAACAAAGCGCCCGCGTTGATCAGGCACTATTTGAGCTCAGGTGACCGGTTTTGGGCTGTCAATCCGATTTCATTATACGGTTGTTTCTGCACTCAAACAAACTGAATCGCACAACGACCGAAGCCATGAGTACACGAAAGTAAACTCCCGTTAAGTCAGTTTACTTTTCAAAACGCTGTCCGCAATCTGCAGCCCGACACTGCAATTTACGTCGAGGACGCATCGACGACAGGGCTGCTCGGTAGCCGGAGAGCGTGGGACTGCTGGGGGCTTTAACCTACAGCAGCAACTCCAAAAACGGACACTACGATTTGTTTATTGTCTGTTACACTCGACGCTCTCGCTGGTGGACGACCCAACCTAGCTGTCGGCCAAGAATCGTCTGCCCATCGCGAGATGAGTCAACACAGAGCCTGTCACTTGTTACTTGGCCTGCTTCCTGTAAATGTCCGAAATCTCATCGAGAAAATTTACTGTTTCGCTGATCGCGCCCTCTTGTACGTGGTTGAAGCAATTGCAATGGGGCTATTTTAGAACTCTTGTCTTTGGTCTACGAAGAAACTACAGGGCATGCATTAGACGTTGTGCACATTTTGGCATGCTTATTAGGATCTGCATACTGTTATTTCGGAGATTTTACTATCATTGTATATATTTTTCTTCCATACCCACACGTGTTGATCAGTTGTCCGGCCTAGTAAACGCACAAGTCCTGTTCCGTTCTAATCTAGTTCTCTGATCTCAGACCAAACACAAATTACCGGTTCAGACAGCTACTGTGTGCGTCTAACTTATTCGCCTGTATTGGTCGAAGGAGTGGGTGCTTACATTAAAGAATGAAGGAAAATGCGCCAGAACCGCTGGAGACAGAAGTAATAAACAGGTCCGCCCTCACACAACTGGTCAACAGGTGGAGATCAAAGAAGATTTCCTGCTGCCTGCTGGCTATTGGCAACCAACTAGCACCGATTTAGGAACGGCGGATGCGATTTCAGTCAAACCACAGCAATCAATCCTGATCTAAAAACAATTAACTAGATGTCTGAATGCAGATTGGAGGAGGTTAATGAACAGTAGTCATTCTCTAATGGAAATATTTGTTATTCTTGCGTCCTCCCCACGCTTTACTCAACCGGCACGAACTGCTGGAACCAGTTTAATCGACTTTAATTCAATAAGTGCTCGTGGCAGATTTGAATAAGGCAGCTGGTCCACTTGGGAAGGCTCAGAGGG